CAGTATAAAAAAATGAACAAATAAAAAAAAAAATTAAAACAAAATGATGTTAATTTGTGTAATATCAGCACTCTTTCTAAATTTTTTACTGTATTGGATCATATTAAAGGATAGTAAAAGTTGACACAAATTCTGGCACTGTTTTGAAGTTTTAACTCTAGAAACATATTGAACATTTGTTTAATATGTATGAGTACCTATAGATATGTTTAGTTTGCTGCATGCACTGCTCTGAGCTATACGGTGTCTGTGTGCACTCTTGCACCGGTCAACTCCAACTCCTTGCAAGATGAGCCTGCTTAAAACAGCCAATCTGATTAAACACAGCAATCATGTAATCATGTAAAGCCTACAGATAAAGCAAGACTAGGCAAGCCTAGTTTTGCAGGACCTCTGGGCTGCACGCTCTCTCCTCTGCAACCTTGGGTAGAAAACTCAAGGGGCGAAGCAGTCATTTTAAAAGTGAAGGGCACACTGTTGTCAGTACATGACACCCCTCAAACCACACACCCCACACTTGTAGGTTCAGTATTACTGTTATAAAGCCTGTAGCAGTATGTGCATTTTTACGATCAAGCCTATTAGAGTGCCTGGGGCAGTAACATATCCTACAGGGGTAAACCAGCTCATAATCACATGGTCCAAAATTAGCCTTTTAAAATTTTTTGCTAAACACACAATCTGCTCCAAAAGCACAAAACTATGCTTATGCTCCAAAATAAGAAGCTGACCCATCACTGATCAGTGGTGGGGTAGTTACTCAAAAAATACTCCAATACAAATTACTACTACTCAAAACTCTAATGGGATCACTTTACTTATTACTTTCAAGAAAAAGTAATCTCACATATTCTCATGACTTTACATCTACATTACTTTCTCAACCTCAAACAAATCTATACCAATCTTAAATAGCTGATCTCACAGCATTTAAAGGCATCTCACCATCTCATAAGCTAAATCCAGTGTGAGAAGTTAAAGTGAAACAACGTTAGCTGGAAAAAAAGCTACTTAAAGCTACTTAATAACTTAATAAAAGGGAATGCAGTACTAAATACCATTTGTTAAAAGTTCACTTATATAGCAAATAATGGGCTAGTCTACCTGTTTACTTCTGCATTGTTTAGTTTAATTAACTTTTCATGCACCGTTTAAGATAAAAAGTTAAAAAGAAATAGTTTTCCCACTGATATTCAAATACTTTGCATTTACAAATTTAAACATAAGAATAACAAATGCCCATCCCTAGTAATACACCTCTGCTACTTAACACTTAACGTCACCAACACTATGTGTTCTTATTATATTTCATTTCCTGCAGCTCACTTTCGGTTGATGCCAATTTAACATGCTCAATCGGCCAAAACAAGAGCTGACAAGGAGCCACTAGAGCTCTTTTAGCTTGCGCTAAACTTCTGTCCTTTCAAGTAAGGACACACACCTGTATGAAACGCAACAGCCTTGGCCTTAGCTTACCTTGGATGGGTGGCACTAGGCAGGCTAACTTATGGTGAATTACCATTGTCCACCAAGGGCTACCTACACTAAACGCATGCGCGTTTCAACAAAGTTATCAGTCAGTTAATCAGTCAGTGAGCGAAACTGCCTCTTCTAGGATGGCCTGCTAGGTGGTCCGACAACAAAACAATTCAACAGGCTACAATACCAGATTGCCCCACAGCTCTACTACATAAAATCAATTGTAATATACTTTGAGATAAAATACAGCTCTTGTATACAGCGATACTGAACTCGCACATTTGAATCCTAACACATGAATGCAGAGCCTCACACACACATTTGTTCTGAAATTTCAAAGGCAACAACAAAGCTTAACAATATGGCTGATTGTTGAGCAATAATAAACAATATAATGAATCAACTATCACAAATGAGCATGAGAAAGGCTACCATCTCCCTATATTTACACAGATAAAACCACAGGACAGAAACAAATGAGCTCTCGCAGGAGAACTTCAAATCGTGCACTTTTATTTCATGTTTGCATAGCGACACTTCTTGGAAAACAGCAAAACAGAAAGACGCAGAGATACACTCTTAGTAGTTTTGTTTCATTTTTTTATTTATTTTATTTTATATATTATATTTACTTTTATTCATTGATTTTACTGTTTTTAAGAGAGCTCAAGCCTCATTCTGGAGTGCTAAGCTCCTGCTGGCTCCCCCATAATTCGAATGCTGTTCTTTATCTATATTCAGTATTAGAAAGAACAGCACTTGAATCATGTGCTGAATGTTGCTCCATACTAGATTCTGCCACATTTTCACCAAAATATCAGAAGCTGCAGCGATTCTGACCTCTCATACTGGAAGATACAAAAGTGATCTTTTTCCATCCTTCACAGTTTGCCTACTCAATAAACCCTACTCTGTTTATGAGAGCTCCAGTGTATGAAGCTTTACATGGCTCCACTGTGGGAATCTGTTCCTTTTTTATAGCTGTTTTGAGAGAAAACTGGGTCACTCACAGCAATATACTCTGTTAAGCACTCAACGACTGAAAGCTTGCCACTGATCTGTTGCTGACAATCTAGTGTATGTAACTAAATGGTACTCAAGGGAGACTATTAGCTGCCTTTTCTTTTCAAAGACTTGAATGACATCGCTGTAAATGTGCAGACCTCTTTTTTACTTCTTAAAAATCCACTTGGGGAAAGGAATTAATCCATGTTAGAATAGTACAGATGAATGCACTAGGTCATCTATCTAAAATCTTTAAACACCACGTTACAATTTAATTAGCCTGCTCCCCTAACAACCCCGGTGACCCCTGCGATGGTGTGCTGTCATGCATGAAATTAGCTAAGTTTCACTCTCAGTGAGCGCTTCCTATCCCTGTGCTTTCAATCAACAGTGTTGTCCTACGTTCCCATGACAACAGCAGATGTAGTGCCCTGTCAACTCCCCTGGCCCAGTGTCCTGTGCTTCTCCTTCACACCAGGCATGTAAGTGATAGAGCGCTGAACAGCACTGATTATTCTGCACAAAGCTCCTTTCAGACAGGTCAGAAGGCCAGACCACTCAGACCCTTCCTTCCTCCAACAGTGTGACACTGCAGAACAGATCTATAGTATGGCTGTACAACAACAGACCTTTAGATGTACCATGCAGCTAGTACACAATACTAACATTTCATCGTGATGGCCCACTGTAGATGCTTTGTAGATGCTCACCTTATCTTTTACTGACATTAAAATACATATCTATTAAATTCACCAAAACTTTTTCCTAACCTTCCACTTAACACTCGCTCTAACCCTAGCGAAGTAATGTTATAGGCAACATATTGTCACACCTTCCGATTTTGCTGTAATTTGTGGGAAGAACGATGAGGAAAATTCCCTACACCATGTCCTAACAGCAAGCGACGTTTGAATGTAGTATCTCATTATGTCACAAAGCCTTTAGGAAGTCCACACGGGAAACGTCAAGTGTGTGTGTCTAGTCGAAACATAAACACACGGACGTTTCAGAAAATTGAGACTTCAAATAAAACGGCAGAGTATTTTAGCTACGCTATTGTGTTACACCTGCAAATGTATGTAATGTATGTAAGTTATGGTAAGTTACTTAGCTAACCAGCTAAGTATACTAATCAATCAATAATGTTCTGTAAAGTTTGTCCAACAGTTGTCCACCAAGGAACACATTCGTGGGCCAAGCTTGGACAGGTCGATTCGTTTCACCAGATAGCCAAATGCTCACACTGGAAAACTGCTACAAAGATCACAGAATTAGGAAGATCATGAAGAGTAAAGCTGCACTACGTACATTTTTTGGTAAAACTGAAAGAAGTAGCAGAAGAAAAAAAATACCGCACAAGTTGTCTTTCAACGAGCTTGCAATTGTCAGATTCATTGTCCGAAGCACGATGACCAGAATTACACATTTCCACCAGAGAGGCTCCCAAATAAATGCGAGCATCACATCCGGGTACTCTGCCCTGGCATAATCAACGAAATAGGGGTTGATGGGTGTCCTTTCAGTCTGCAGTAGACCCTACCCAGTGGCCAGAGGAGTCATATTTACAATTCGATTTCCTATAGTTTTATTATCATGGCATTAAGGCAAAATTTGGATTTTGACAATAATCATGACACAAAAATGACTTCAGGAAACAGGCAGGTGACGCTGTTTTACTTAGTGCCTATCAACACACCAGGGGAAAAGCCAGCTGGCTGCAGTCAGTGCTAGTGAGCCTACTGTTAGTTAACCTAACCGTTCAGAATCAGAATCAGAATCTGTTTTGTTACAGGATAACATTAAATTGGCTTTTCACTGTGTTTTATGTACTGCCCTGTGTTCTATGTACCGCCCTTTCAATACAGCATCAACATTCACTACTTCCACTTTTAACATTACATTCATTACTTTGACTTTAAACATTACACTGTTGATCTCAACATCATTCATTTGCCTGCGATTAAGCGTCTGCCATAGATGTACACGTACTGACTGCCCGGGTCCCACAGTTTACCATTTTTATCCTCTCTGTGGATGGCCTGAAGCCACAGATCTTTTGCTGTCCTTCGCTATTCTGAGTAGTAAAGAAAATCATAAACTAGGTTTTTTTTATTGTTGGGTGAGCAAAATGTGCCACTGCAGCCTTTAGGGGCACTGATATTTCCAACTTGGCGCTGGCACTCCGAATGGTTTGTTTTCACCCAAAAGGAGGCATGGTTGTTCGGATGAAAGGGAGGTGACATATGCTTGCTCTCATCTATCCCCAAAACTTACATAGTATAGCTTTAACATCGGTAAATTCCATGAAGAAGAAGTAAGTTTTCAATGACTCACAGGCAGCGTGCTCTGCAGCCTCGCACAAAGTGATCTCAGCCTAAAATACATCTCAACAAACATATGTGCTCACTCAGTGTAACTCAAGTCAGTCTGCTGCTGTGCTTGCCTGTGTTGTGTGGGGTGTGGTAGAGTGCTGCAGTGATCCAGCTGTTACTGCTGTGTGGTTTTGGAGTACTCACAGTAACTGAGGTCTCGCGCTCCTGCTTCCTTGGCGTAGTGGACACAGGGCTCTGGAGGAGGACGTAACATATAATTAATCAAAACTCCCTTTTGCCATGGACATCATTCCACATTTTGTTCGCATGAAATCACAACCACGGTGAATTCAAAACGAGCTGTTTTTGCTGCTTACTACATCAAACACTGAACACTTGCAAAGCAAGGAACCCTTATCACAGCTGGCTCTTCACTGCTGCTCTTATTGTTATGGTCTTGTTGTCAGTGCTGCTATGGTTTCAGAGGAAGTGACAGTGATGGGAGGAGGTGTGAACTGTAAAGTCATAAAGTTGCTATGATCACAAAACTGTCACTTGCATCCTGAGGTAATTAGGAAGGAGGGAGCAAGGGAAGGGACAACGGTGAGGGGAGGACAGAAGGAGCTAGAAGAACCTCCATCACCCTCATATCCAGCCTCTACACTGTACAAAGCATGATGCAAGCTGCACTTTAAATAAAGTGCAATACAGATTTACAGGTTGTTCATGGCCGCTGTGCTAATTCTAAACAAAGACTGAGTGGGTGGAAAAGGTAGGCAGTTCATTTTACTCTTTAATAAGTTTCCCAGTGCTTTGACTGCTTGTTGCCTAGTACAAAATGTACACTGAAGGCCAAATGCATGGAGGCAAGCAGTGATCAATTTGTCAACAATTAACACATTTACTGACATCTAGTTCAACCAAAGAAGATTTAACCAGAATATTCCACTGGTTTGCAGTTGATATATTCTTACTGTAGTATATTCTATGTGAAAAGTCTTCACTGAAAAAAGGCCTTACACTGGCCAGTTTTAAATTATTTACAAACACACTTGATTTAATGAATTCAACATTCAGCAGCATCTGAAGCAGTTAGATATAATTAGAGCTGCAATAAAACTCTACAGGATGATCACCAGAAGCAAAACAAAGTAAGAATCAATTAACTGCAGAATATTGCAGCCGAACTGTAGTCAAATCCTCTTAATCTACATTCTAAAAAATCTACACACTAAGATGCTTCTTTGCACAATACCATTGAAGAACCACTGAAGAACCCCCCCCCCAACAAAAGAACCTTTCCATGGATGTGTTCCTTAGAGAACCATTTTTAAAAATGTTTTTAAAGTCAACTTTCACATAATGTAAAGGTGTTAGCAGGAACCTTTAAATTGGTATGGATAACAACATTATAAGTGTAAGTCCTATTGCCAGGAGATTGTAAGTTCGATCCCCAATGATGCCATAGTCATTTGTGGCCAGGAGTGCATAACTGGCCTCGCTCTGCCTGAGTGGGTAGGATGGTCCTCCCTCACTCAGCACAGTGCTAGTCAACGCGGGCATCTGTTAGCTGATGTAACAGAACTGGCAGTTAGCATTCTCCTCCAAGTGTGTTAAGCTGTCCAATGATGTTGCGTTAGCAGCAGTTCGAAAAGATATGGTGGTGCTTCACGTTTCTCGCACTTGCTAGCCTTCACTCTTCCAGCTTGATAGCAACTAAATATAGGTAGAATCTAACCCGTGGGAACTGGCCAAGACTAAACGTGGGGAGAAAGAATTATATCATGTATATGAGGTTCTTCCTTAGGAGTGGGCAATCTGACAATATATATCGTTATCGTGATAATTTCACAACCCATTACAACACATTACAAAGAGAGCATAATTTGGTTAACCCCTTAACTGGCCACAACTCACTGGCAGGTCCAACGTTTTACTGAACAACAAGACTTATGAATAACTAGGCAAGCTAGTTTGCAATGTGGTCCATGTAGTCACTAAACAATAAGCCTAAGGATGTAATAAGCCTGGGATTTTAAGAGGTTAACTGGATTTAGTTCAGCACAGTGTGTGAAATGTTGAATTAAAATCAATGTACTTAAATGTGGCATTACTGGTCCTTTTTGTCTGTTTTGTCAACTTATCAAACTTCAGAAAAATAGAATATTCTGATATATACACTATATGGTCAAAGGTATGTGAACATCCTGCCTAATTATTGAGTTCAGGTGTTTTAGCCAAACCCATTGCTAACAGATGTATAAAATCAAGCACACAGCCATGCAATCTCCATACACAAACACTGGCAGTAGAATGGGTCAGACTGAAGAGCTCAGTGACTTTAAACATGGCACTGTCATAGGATGCCACCTATGTCCCTGCCCTGCTAGATCTGCCCTGGTCAACTGCAAGCTATTATTATTACGATTAGTAGTAAAATGGAGTGACAACAGCTCAGCTATGAAGTGGTAGAACATGCAAACTGCCTCTTGGAAGTAACATTAGCACAAGAACTGCCAGGAGCTTAATGAAATGGGTTTCCATGGCCAAGCAGCTGCACACAAGCTTAAAATGTGCACGGCCAGGCATTAGCTGGAGGGGTGTAAAGCACCCTGCCACTGGACACCGGAGCAGTGGAGATGTGTTGTCTAGAGTAATGAATTATGCTTCACTATCTGGCAATCTGATGGATGAATCTGGGTTTAGCATAAGACAATGCTACCTGCTGGAACACACAGTGCCCACAGTAAAATCTGGGGGAAGAGGGATAGTGGTCTGGAGCTGGCCACTTCGTTCTAGTGAAGGGTGACGTTAATGCTTCAGTATACAAAGCCACTTTAGACATTTTATGCTTCTAATTTTGTGGCAACGTTTTGGGGAAGGCCCTTTCCTGTTCCACCATGACTGTGCCCCTTTGTACAAACAGAGGTCCATAAAGACATAGTTTAAATTGGTGGGGAGGAACTCCAGTGGCCTGCACAGAGCCCTGACCTCAAGCCCACTGAACATATTTGGGGTGAACTGGAATGTTGATTGCGAGCCAGGTCTTCTCATTTAACATCAGTTCCTGACCTTACAAATGCACTTTTGCCTTAATGGGCAAAAAATCCCACATATACACTCCAACATCTTTCCCAGAAGAGTGGAGGCTGGCTGTTAGTGCCCATGGTTTCGGAATGGGATGTCCAACAAGCTCATATAGGAGTGATGGGATGGTCAGGGGTCCCAATACTTTTGGCCATGTAGTGTAGCTTGTATCAGGAAAATGTTTTTTAAGTATTGTGATATTTCTGCCACTTCACCCACTCCTAATCTTCACACTCATAAATCTCTTTTTCAAACATGATTCAATAGATTCTTTAAAGAGACTCATCCACAGCACTGCTCAAAGAATGCTTTTCCGCAAATTTTCAAGAGATTTTTTTACATGAAAAAACATTAGCACTGTCCACTATCTCTTGAAAAAATATGTTTTCATGTTTTTCTTCCAAACCTTTGGCTTGTATGTATATATAAGCTCTAATGAAAACATTGCTTACTAAAAGTTCTGAGGACTCATGAAAGACCAGTTGCGTAAGGTCCAGATTAATTATAGCCTGAGTTGACTCATGCACACTGTGTTCTCAGTTAAATGAACTGAGGCGGACACTTTTGCAGATCAGTCGTACCTGTTGATCTGTGCTAGGCTTCCGCTGGAGCACATGGGACTGCTCCGTCTGATGCAACGGGCTACCACTGCCATGAAATCCATTCACTGTGAAGACAGAAGGAAGATAGTGGGAGAGAGTCAGTTTAGGATTTTCTCTGAAACTTGGAACCAGATCTAATCTAACCTTAACGATATTACAAAGTCATGTTCACAGGAAAAACAAAATGCTGACAGATAGAAATTGTTGATGAACGTCTTCCATTTCCTCAATGGTCCTATGTGTGCAATACTCAAGCTGCACATTTGAAATCTAAGAAATGACAACTGCAGAACAACCGCAGCAAAAAAAGCAAGCTAACAAACCAAAGGAAGTGTTTTGTGAGGCACTTCTCTAGTTTTTTTTTTTCTTGCTATCATATTTCTTTCTTCCTCAGCATGTACATGGCACCTCCTAAATATAGAGTCTAATTTTAATCTCCTTGCCTGTATTTTTAGGGTTGTAAGAAAAGAGCATGTTCTGATCGTCTACGCATGATAACATGCTGCTCTATTCTATTCTAACACAGGGCAGGCAAGCACAAAAGCCACCCCTATGAGGGCTTTATTTAAACTTTAAAACCTCCATAGAGAACAATGTAAACACATTGAATAATTCAGCTCTGAATAATGAACTAGAAAGAGAGTAGGCTTTTGATCAAACAGAATAATTTTAACTGTCAGTCAAAACAATTTACCACACCACAGTGTCTTTGGGTTGGTGCTCATTTTTCCATTGTCAGCTGCTGGGCTAAGGTCCAGTGTGCAAAGGAGGCAGTTCACCTCATGACCTCATGTGTGCATGATCTCAACAAATACATGGTCATGAGTTTTGAAGCCCCTGGTGAGACGTATCTAAGTCGAGAAGTCCTTATCCTGAACACATTCGCAGTTTCCTTCCTCCATTTATATCCGATGACACTGATCTCTCTCTAATTTCATTTGTTTTTTAACGGAGCAGTTTCAACATTCTGAATTAGCTCTAAATTCCATTATCTCTCCACTGCATCAAGGGACTCTCCTGTACTTGTTTGCTATGTGTTCTTATATGAGTAAGTAAACCAGTGCTCAGGTCAGCTCACTAGACCAGACATGGACGATGAACAAATTCTAAGTTGGCTTGACAAAGCCAGCTGGCAACAATTCAAACGTTAAAGCAGTTTCACTGTTGAATGTTTTTAATAACTTAGTTATACAGCAATTCCTGATAGTTACTATGAGGTTTCACAAAACAAGCTTTCAGCTTGTTGTTGGGGCATTGCTTGGTGGTTGCTAAGGTGTTGCTAGGCCACTGCTGTTCCATCCCAGCTAGGTGCCAAGGTGTTGCTAAGTCATTGCTATGGTACCATTTGTGGTTGCAAAGGTGTTGCTAGGCTATTGCTGTGCTATCCCAGGCAGTTGCCAAAGTGTTGCTAGGTCATTGCTATGGTATCTTATGTGGTTGCTAAGGTGTTTCTAGGCGATTGCTATGCTAGCCTAGGTTAAGGTGACCAGATTTCTGAAATGAACACTTAGGATATTTCCAGTTTGGCAGTAAATATATCATTAAAATATCCAATGTTTTTTTCCCATGAAATAAAAATGAGGGTCAGTCCCAGTTTCATGTGTTTTAACCATGGTAACTATTGTACTGTAATAAACTACGGTGAAGGCTGGCTGATAACACTGGGTACTAACTAAATAACTTAGTAAACCATGTCAGAAAATCATACAGTAACCTACCATGCTGAGTGAAGATACAATAAACTATGGAACACTCAATAAAGAAAATGGTCAAACACTTAGCGCTTCCATCGCAGCAGTATGCTGTGAAAATGGGGACGTCTGGTCACCCTATCCCAGGTGGTCCCTAAGGTGTTGGGATTTTCAAGCCATCTTAACTACTCTTGAAACATATCATCTCTGTCCAAACAGAGATGCAAAACAGTAACTTTAAAGGAGAAGACAAAATGTTCTTACCTTTTAATATAAGTTACTGTAAAGAATTTTCTTCTTGTTTGAGCAGTGATGTCATGTACAAATTTTCCTGTAATGTTACTTTTTAGCATTATTAAATCATAGTAATTTTACTTTTACCTTGCCAGTATTATTTCTGATAACTAGTGAAAACTTCCAACCTGAGAAAGCAGCTAGCTGACTGGCTAACTTGTCTTAGCTAAATAGTTTCTACGTTCTTTTATTATTTTCTTTTCATTTTGTCGATTTCAGAATAAGTGTGACAGATCCTGAAACCTAAAACCTTTACTTAGATGTTCCATAGTGAGGGATTTCTAGCTAGCTGATTTAGCTAATATTAAAAGGTTTCTCTGGTCAAGCTCTGCCTCTCTCAGTATCTGTATCTCCTATGTTTTCCCTAATTCCACTCCCAAACAGTTCTAGTCCATTTTGTGTTTCCTGCTTTCCTCAGTAGTGTGTCCACCTGTGTCTTGTTCCTCTGCATGTACAAGCAGCCCTCATGTGTCCTTGTGTCTCTGTCAGGTTGTGTTTGTTTTTTGTGAATGAGCTTTCTGCCATATTGCATTTTCTTGTATTTCACTTATGTTGCTTAGTTAGTTCCTGGTCTTGTTTTCAGGGTGTTTGTCCAGTTTCTGTTTAATTATACTTTTTTTCTCAGTTTAGTTTGTTTTCCCCACTTCAGTGCCCTAAGAAAAAAATGGCTTTTAATTTTTTTACACTGTAGAGGGTGTGCAACACCTATAAAGACAACAACAGAGAAAATGTGCTTTGCCTTCTTTTTACTGAACCTACTGAAAAAGCACACTATGTTAAAGCTGAAATTGCTAAAATGAAATTTATAAATGAGAGAATTCATTCATAACTCACTCCTTCACATCTCACAGACTAAAGGTTTTCCATAAGGGGTTGCTGAAACCACTCAAATATTTTTGTGCTCATCACAGAAAGATTGGCATCCCACACCAGCAGCATATCACAAATTGCATGTATTTTCAGTCAGTTTCAATTCGAGAGTGTCTGAAGTAAGAGACCTGAAAAACAGCCCAGGTAAGTACACAAACACAGACTATATTCTCTGATAAGGGAAATGTGTACTTGATCGGAGGACTGATATTATTGACATGCAGAGACTAGACGCATGCACACCATGATATGCACAGAAGCACAAGAGGATTTCGGGAAACTGTAGCGTGCCTGGACAGAAATGTGAACATCTGTATAGTGTCTGAATGGAGACAAAACATTTAATATGACCAAAACTGTAACAACATCCTCCAAATCTCCACATTGCACACATTTCTCTGTGTATATACAACCCCATTTACAAAAAAGTTGAGACGCTGTGCAAAATGTAAATAAAAACAAAATGCAATGATGTGCAAATCATTTAAACCCTATAGTTAATTGAAAATAGTACAAAGACAACATATCAAATGTTGAAACTGAGAAATCTTGTTTTTTAAAAAATATATGCCCATTTTGAATTTGATGCCAACAACATGTTGCAAAAAAGTTGGTACAGGGGCAACAAAAGACTGGTAAAGCTTGTAATGCTAAAAACACCTGGTGGGTGATTAGCAACAGGTTAATCAGCAGAATTTGGAGAAATTTCTATATGCAAGGGACAAGGCCAAAAACCAGTATTTGCTGGCAATGCTCTTTGGGCCCTCAGGTGGCACTGCATTAAAATGATACATGATTCTGTAGTGGAAATCACTGCATGGGCTCAGGAACACTTCTGAAAACCACTGTCTGTGAACACAGTTCGGCGCTGCATCCACATATGCAAGTTAAAACTCTAAAGTGCAAAGAAGAAACCACACATAAACAGGATCCAGAAATGCTGCCACTTTCTCTGGGCCCAAGCTCATTTAAAATGGACTGAGGTACAGCAGTTGGTCTCCACAGTTCCTAAATGCTTACAGAGTGTTGATAAAATAAGAGGTGTTGAAACACAGTAGTAAACATGCCCCGTCCCAACTTTTTTGGAACATGTTGTTGGCATCAAATTCAAAATGGGCATATATTTTTCAAAAAACAATAAAATTTCTCAGTTGCAACATTTGGTATGTTGTCTTTGAAGTGTTTTCCTTTATGTGGTTTATATGATTTGCATTGCATTCTATTTTTATTTACAATCGGCACACCATCCCAACTTTTTTGGAAATGGGGTTGTATAATAATATGCAAAAGTTTGGGCACCCTGGTCAAATTAAGTTTGTTCATCTTCTTGGTGAAAATAAGATAACACATCCCCTACATTGAACACACTTCTGCACATTTTAATGTTTTCTGCATCATAGAAATCATAGGGCCCTACGTTGCTAACTCTCTACCAATTAAATGAAACTAAGGGCACCCACTCGCCTCCAACTCAATGTGACACCTAATGTTTAAGGTAAGCTAGTAATTTAGCCTAGGGAGCCATGAATCCTAGGGAGCTTTGCACCTTCTTTCCGTAAGCTGATTATTCATCTAAAATAAGCACTGGATGAGTTTTTGAACAGAGAGCTTATTTACTCTTACTTGAGTTCTTTTCTTTATTATTACTTTTACTTGTAATCAAGTGAATTATTACAACGGTAGCAGTGCTCTTACTTAACTAGGGATTTTCAGTAGTCCTCCCACATCTAAAGCACATTGGACATTGTTCACTCTGTGTGCTGCAGGTGGCTGAAAATGGGAGTAGGGATGGAAAGATTATTAGAAAGATTACTCCCTGAAGAATGTTGTTAAGAAACAGCGGAGGAAGATTATTTTGACCACATTCAAACTATAGCAGATTGTTTCTGCTTACTATACCCTTGAGAATGATGAGCACTGAAACATTAGGTGTGTGTGCTGACTCTGCAGAAGTAGAAATGAAAATGAAAATAAGTATTTTTTTTTCTTTTTTTTATTTTGTTTTACCTGATGTTCCTTTTGATGGTTAAAGAAGCATTTATGGCATCTGTTGGAAGTCTAAAAACTGGCCTTCAGGTCATCACCTCACAAGCTCAAATGTGAGAACAATAATGCGAACACAATTAGCTTCTGGGCGTGGATGAGCGTGTATATGAGGGGGTGGCTGAATGTTATGTAAGGGTGGAAAGAGGTTTTACAATATACCACATTCAGACCAGTAAACAGACTATTATCATATGACATTATGTAGAAATTGCACAAAAGTCAGAACACCGTTCGAGTCAAAACGGCCATTAGGTACAAGTTATTCATTTACCAGCATCAAGGAAAACAGCAGACAACATATATTTAACAGAAAATCAATACCAAAAATCAATACCAAATTATAGCATCATTTTTTTCAGTATTTAGTGTGCACACTCTTTGCCTTTATCACAGCATTCTTTTCGGAAGACTTGCTTACAGAGATCTGCAGAGATATTTTTCCACAACTCTAAAGTTCAGTCTTGCAAGCTGGTTACACTCTGTTCTTCTCACCAAGTAATCTCAAACACATCTAATAAGAACTCACTCTGAACAGAAACACCTGTGGATTTTTCAGATCTGAAGCAGGAGCTTGATTTTCCTTTGATTTTATCTCTTAAATGGTGCTAAGCAATTAATTGTTTTAATATTAGAATTGCAATTTGAACAAGTGCAATTTTCAAACTGCAAGAACTGCTATTTTCTTTCTACCCCACATTATTCAACACATTTTAAGAGGGAAAATTTAACCTTAAAGCGCAGAGCTTTATCTGATGGTGACAGTTTTGGTGGTCTACCAGGTCTTACATGGTTGTTGGGAGTCACATTTTCTCTATAGCTTTTAATCATTGGTTGAACTCCAGTTTTGGTAACTCCTGTTTGTTTTGACTTATTTTTCTTTCACTTTCCCCTTCCTCATACAAGTGTATAATCTTATATCTAATCTCCTCAGAAATATCTCCTGAAAAATGAATAACTTCTATATAATGTCCGATTTGCCAGGAAATGATCTAAGCATGAAAAAAAAAAAATCAAAATTAGAATTTCAAAATTCTTTAAACGATGTTCAGCACTCATTTTAAAAAGGCTTTGTTTCATATCCAGCAGATCACACTGCAGAAGTCAAGACTTCATTGCTGTTGTTGTTCAGGTTGTTGATGTCTTGGTAATCTTGACTGTGAGGGATTCACACGCACCGCACAAGTGGCTCCAGTGTTCCGAACCACAGATAAAATTAAAACACAGGAAATCTGTAATCAGAGGGCCTCTGTGGAATACACAGCACCCTGCAGCAAAGATAGAGAGACTCCAGTGTGCAGCATGCTCCAACTGAATGCTTTTCATTCCCTTCAAATAACCAGTCTAGGGCTACATATCACTCCATGTGTGCAATACGCAAGCATGTCTTTAACCAACCACTGAATGCTTCTGCGTGAGCATTCTGACCAATCTCAGATGTTCCTTAGAGGTTTCAATGAATCACATCAAACAAACATATATAATTTTGGTCAAAAATAATGCAGGCCCATCCTTAACCATGTCACATTCTTTAATGTGTTTTAATCTGAGTTTAATCTGAGTAACAGATAGAGCCACTGGACCTCTTGACTGTAAGGGTCAAGCATTCAGACGGGTTCCATTCCCTCTCTGTGTATGCTGCACATGCACTCACCCATTTGTAGAGAATACATCTAAATTTGCAGTGATCTTTGTAACGAGGAGTTGCACTGCAACCCTACGATAATATCTCTCTGTGTAGTTGTGGATGGACTGTTCTTACTGACACCATCTAATCATGTCCTGCACTGACATACTCAGCACCTAAAGAACAGTTGCTCTTCTGTTTCTTCTTATATCACACCAACGCATGAGCATCATGGACACTGAATGTGCATGTTCAACCACAATTTCCATGTCTGTTTACTTAAGTCTTTCCCATAGATCTGAAATCACAATGCAGATGTTTCTTTAGTCACTGTTCCTATTGAAATACTAGCTAGTTGAGCAGTCTTTGTGACTGAAGCTCCTGCCATCTGTGCCCCAATAATGAACTTCTTTCAAAGTCACTTAGATCTTTACCTCATGCCATCATGATTCAAAATTGAGGTTAAATGGGCCTGATCTAAATTTTTATACATGTCATAGAGTGTGGCAGGATGTTAATAGCTTAGTTGTATAATGCAGTTCACCTGTCTGGAAGCATTCACTCTTGTTCTGTGTCTCTTCTCATACAGGTTTTTCCTTTATCACTCATCAGTATATACACTCATTGGTTGAAAGACGCAGCCACTGTTGCACTGCTGGTGATGAAAATTAGAAAACCCTATGTAAATTATGCGATTTTCATGTGCAAAATAGTAATGGCCTATGCCAAAAATGTATATCAGTATATAATTAAAGTTTCTGATAGTTTCCATTTATATATATATATATTATATATATATATATATATATATATATATTAAAAAAACACTGCAGCTGTTTAAATCAAAACATATTTTTGTAGAATATCACTGGCTAAACACTAGCCCTACAAATCCGGCAAAACCGGTGCTAAATGTTTCACGTCTAAATGTCCACAAGGCTGAAGTTGTTTCTTTGTATTCCACCTTAAATGGAGCAGCCAACTTCAGTATGTTATTTGTCTCATGCATGCGATCCCCATTCACCCGTGCCTCCAACCACCAGACAGTGCTGGAAAATATTAGTCATTCACATTTGGTCCACAGCTTATTTTGTGCACAGGACCTCAGCCACAGTGTCATCAGAGTCAGCCAGCCTCTCGGGAAGCATGAGAGGAAATAGAAACACAGCAGTCATTCTGGTGTGCATGCTAGGCTTAGGCTAACCCCAAAAGACTAGCCATTCCTGCCTCAAAAACAAAGTGGACTACTACATATTCAACAGACGGGACAGTGGGAGGTGATCGAGGGTCTGCTGCGTTTTCATTTTCATTTGAAATGTGACTGAAATGTTCATGACTAAGGCACTCAGCTAAATAGGATAATGTTAGCATAGGTTGCACTGCTTGTTTGTCACATTATCTACACATATTGGTGTGTAAGGCACACTCTGATAATGCTGCAATCTGGTATTTTGCCTCTATCATGAATACTGGAATAAAAGGCATAATGAACTACTACCATAATTCCTTCTCATTACTTTTCCTTTCCATTGCTCCACTTGGGAACAGTTTGTCTGGATAAATTTTTCATTCCTTTTTGTTTTTGTCAAATTTTTATCACCTAAGATACTGCAATGTGAATTTTCCCCAGTATCATTCAGGCCTACTTCTCTTAACCGTATTGTGTCTGGTGGGAAAACTGTGTTTCTTAGCAATGAACACTTTTCGGGCAAGTTATGCAGTTATCTGTATGAATTTCAATAAGCTGCAGCCATACGCCTTCATGATGCAACTTCTTTTAATGCAGGAATTAAAATGAATGTCCAACTAGTCACTGTGGGGATTTAAGCCATTTGGGAACTAAAGTCTAAAATATGAAAAGAAGCATTTGGTTAGAAAAGCAGGCTTACCCGCAGGTAAAGAGTTCTTGTGTCGCAGTGATGTTTTGGGGGTCCCAGGGACACTGGATGGTCTCTCCCATGTAGTCTCTGCAACAGAAGGCCACGTCAAACCATTACCAGTGAATTACATCATCTAAGCAGTGCTCAGTTATAGGCTTGGAATGATAAGATGCAGTGAAAGCACCATGGCTGATATATACACTCATAAAAGTAGATTGCACAACTCAACTGAGGGAGTTGTGCTGCATGCACTAATCCATCCCTGGTTCTGGAGAGCGTTATTCCAGCAAATTCCAACATATACCTATTTACACTTGTTCCAACCAAGTAATGAACACTGTCTTCAAGTATCCTGATGTTATATTTTTGCTATATCGCCCACCTCTTAGACTGACAGCTGTCAACTGTGGATTGTCTAATATGATCATTATCAATTCACAGTTGTCCCATTTCACTCACATCATTAAAACTAGGGGGTGGAGCTTCCCAGAATCCTTACAGTTTTGTGGGGTTCGGATCATTAGCTCTTCTTTTTCTTATTTTTCACCTGTTCTTTTTTTTGTTTTGCTATCCTCATATTAAGGGCCTGTTCATTCTTTACAAGTGTCATCTTATGAAAATCTCACATTTAAAGTCACTGAGCTCTTTAGTATGACCCGTTATACTGTGAGTATTTGTCTATGGAGATTGCAAGGCTATGTGCTTGATTTTATCCACCTGTTAGCAATGGGTGTAGCAGAAATACCCAACCTCAATAATTAGAAGGACTGTCCACACACCTTTGGCCATTTAGTGTATCTGTTGGGCCCTTCGGGTCAGCCCTGCACTAAGAGCTAGCCATCAGATGAAATCTCCCAGTGTCTGGCCAAGAAGCTGGCTCTCTAAGAGTGAATCATATTTCTCCAAAACACGATATGGGAGTTATAAAGCCGGAATAAATGAATAGCAGGACTAAAACAGCACTGATAACATTATCCACAGGGATCGTTTTCACTTTATTCCATGCGACTATGTGTCATATTTCTATAGAGACCCAAACCGTAGCCACTGTGACACAAGCCTGTATTATTTTTTGTGCAAACCTTTGGCTCAGATGTCTCTCAGTGCTTACCAGTGGAGGAAGCACAGCCCGAACCATCAGTTCAGCTCCAGTGACATTCATGGAGAAGAGATTTGGCAGCAAGCGATCAGGATCCTTTCAGCAGTGATCTACAGTGCCATCAAAGGCCATTCATTACCAGACTCTTCCTCTCCGGTTCTTTGAGTTAGTTTCTAATGAGGCAATCAATACTATAAAAGAAATCCACTAAACTGGTGACGATGACATAATTGCGCTCAGTCTGCTAAGCAGGGTAGATATGTTTTCTTCTCATAAATGTCAATAATGCTATGTAAGTGTAATTAGTATGTCACTGATGCAGTTCTGATTAGGTTTATTCTATTTTCTAATGCAGAACCGGTCCCTCCTCATCCCTCCTGTCACTCTCCTACATCTGACGTGAATATCGATGGGCCACTTTACATACTGTGAGTATTCATCCTCAGAAAGGCCAGGCATATCAATGTGAAAGATGAAAGCCCATACAGAATCCGTCAGTGTCTTTGGATACGTAATGAAAGAGTAAAATAAAAAAAAAAGCCTGTGGATCTTTTATGAAGCTGCAACTCTGAACTGGAACAGATGGTTACCAAGCAACAAGCACCTGAGCGAACATATTAGTCTAATTATCGCATTCAGACCAACGTCAGCAAAAGGACGGCAGGGCCGAGTTTTCACATCCTCGCTATTGTCCCATTTTGTGTTTACTAGAGATTGATTTTTCTGTGAAAACACATCAAGGATATCATGTGCTTCTGATCTGTAATGAATATGAGGACTGCCGCCCTGTAAGTAATGAATATTGGCCTAGTTATGTCTCATGAAGTCCATCTTTTATTTATCACCATCTGTAATGGCATCCGCTGCGGCGCCTGCTGTTCCTGCATGACAATTTGCGCAAAGTCAAACCATTACAAACTTTATTTTTTTTCATTGCAAGCAATTTCACCACCTAACATTTCCAAAAAATTACATTTATTACGTCTGTTTAATAACATCAGAGTGTCTCTGTACTCTTCATGGACCTATGTAATTTAGTTGTCTGTGCTTACAGTGAACTGAAGTCTTTTGCCTATAAGCTCTCTGTTCTGCTGTGTGCTGTCACTTGCTGTGACAGTTTCTGATGTTTAAAGGATGAAAAGGACTGCCTACATACTGGAGTGCCCTAGAAGACACATTTCTTCACCATGTTTCATCAACCTGTCTCTGCCAGGGAGATTTCTTTAATGGATAAATGTACTGTGGGCTGTTGACTTGCTTTGTTTAGGCACATTCTGATGAACATCCTCACCTTCCTGTTAATTTTTTTTTTTCTCTCACTCACACGTCTTTTGGTTCCCTAAATAAACTTTCAAGCCAGCGGTTTCAAATGAGTTTTTAAAGGGGCCATATCCTTTCATTACCATGAGGCTTTTGTGCTGTTTTATGGACCTCAAACAACCATGGTTGATTTTAATATGACCATTTTTCCAACCTCTTTATATTTTAAAATTGAACAGTGTGTTGGTTACTGTGGCTTTCCAAATTCAACATATAGAAATGACCTCTGTTCTGATTGGCCACCTTGTATTATACCTCATACAAGCTGAAAGACTCCTTATAACTTCAGAGTGAATAGGCTGGGCTAATCTGCTGTAGGTCAGACAGGTGGATATACATAAATGTGTTGGTTTTCACAAAAGCAATTAATTCAAAACTGCTGTTTGAGAGGTTTAGTTTACATATCGCTAAGATCCTCAGATCTCCAAAATGATAACTTTATAGAAGAAGGAAAAAACATGCTTACTTTTTAAATAAGTCAGTGTAATCAGACTTTTTTCCAAATGATTTTGGGTTCTTTCTTTTGGTCCATTCGTCATAAAATTCGCACACAATGTAAAGAGCAACAGGCATTTTCAAATTATGACAAACATTGAAAAACAAAAAAATGGAGATACAAGGTTTTGTTCTGACAGCAGTGATATACTGACCATACAGACAAAGATGTGAATGGAATGTTTTGAAACTTTTAAAATACATTTACATAAGGGATCCAAATTTTGCCTTTTTTACCAATAACTGACCACCATGATTAATCATTAACTGGCAAGCCTAAATTCAAGGATGCAACCTATTAAAATATCAGCTACAAAACGACTCTGAAACCTTTTTGAAGCCATTGCAAAATACTTGCTATACACACAGTTATCAAATGAATTCTGTATTAATGCACTGAGATACTGAAAAATGTTCCTTGTATGCTCCATGAAGCAGAATACTGATAGGTGGGGCTGTGCATAGGCATGAAGCAATGGCCTGAAACAGTATTAAATATACCTGTAAGAACCTGACAATTACAATACGTTCATGAGTATATGACCAAAAACTGAAAAGTTTCACCAATTCCTGAATATACAATGATCTATATTCTTATGTAAGCCATCGCCGTCCACTACGACCTTCTCTGACTGATTTGCTCACATTGCTGTACTTCACACTTTGTGTCAGAGAACAAGAGTGAAATCATTGTCTGGCTTACCACTTGCAGATGTTTGCTTTCAATGTGATACACTGCTATAGTTTTGCTATCGTCCTCTTGAAAAGTGGTCCTGAACACCCCTACTTTAGGTCTCCATTTCATTTTTTACTAGGTCTATCAAGAGGAACAACTGTTGTACCCTCATGTGTACAATTCAAAAATGTTCCTCAACTTGAGTAATAAACCAGCCTGATCAAATCACATGTTGTTTATTGAAAATGAAATTAAATTAAATTACCTTTTTTTCCGATAGCATTGGTCAAACAATTGTTTATTTGTTGGTTAACTGTTGATTGGTTAATCATTTACAATCCTAGTTTGCAAACTAAATCAACATTTCAAAAAATATGGGACCCAAGGTATTATGAAGCTATTTAAGGAACCCAAAGTGGTTCTTCTACAGCATCACTCCAAAGCATCCTGTAATCCTTTCAATTTTATTGATGCCAGATTACACCAGAGTTTGTTTTCCACTGGAGTTTCTCTCTCTGTGGGCAACATGAAGCTTGTCCTACAGACATTTGTTTAAGGTATGGTAGGTAGAACCAGCAGACCAGCATGGCAGAGAGCCTCTAAACCACAAGGTTGCAACACAGAACAGGAAGGAAACCACACAACCCCCCCTTCCCCCCCACTACCACCACTACACACATACACACCAGGATCATCATGTCACCATGGCAATCAAACAACACAACACCATAATCAGAGACATCTTCGCACAACTGTCAAGAAGCCTTTTGATATCACAAAACTCCCAAAGAACAAGTTCTTCAGAAAAAGAACAAGAACTGTTTGGTGCAGATCACCCTGCAAAGGCCAGCTTCAGGGTGTTCTGAATGTGTCTTAATTGGGAATCTAACCCCAATCAAAATCCCTTTAACAGTCATCACTTAAGGTGCTTATGGAACACCTTAGACTAAACAGACTAGACAATTTACAGTGGGTGCATTCCATGCATGAGTCACTGTGAAGGATTAGAGTAAGTGACTGGTCGGAGCATTCATATGTTTTCTTGTTTTCACATTAACAGCTCCTCCAAGCTCCATGGAATTATCTTTAAAAGGAACAGCTGCCTCTATTACTGGCAGATGTGAAGGTGGAGTATGGCTGTTTTTAGCTGTCAGGACCACTGAAACCAAAGCCAGGTCAAAGTAATAGGAACCAAAAAGTCTTTAACTTTCATAAGCTGAGTGCTACTGCTGTGGGAGGCGTTCATTACTAGGAGTCCTGAGTCATAACAACCAGTCCATAAATCCTCATGAGCTGTTATTATGGCAACTATTTATGGTAGCTGCATAGGTTCATTTGTCCCATTGACTTGTGTATTCGAATGTCTCATAGTTACCAAACTCTTAATGCTATATTTTTACCCAACACAGGCTACAAGAGTTTATGACTTGCTCATAAGCCAAAAAACTTCCATTAACATCCATTATGTCATTTCTAAATAAACTGCCTTCGAGGTATCTCCAAATCTTGCTTTGATTTTTAAGAGAATGACTCAAAACTGTTTCTACAGTTTTACAGAATACAGTAGAAACTAGAAAATAGAAAAGCATAAATGAAATTATAGCCTCAGTACTTTTATTTTTCCAGCTCAGGTCCTCATTCAGTCATCTAGAGAATGCACAGATGGACGTCTTGTGGGTGGACAGAGAAAGAGTACATAGCACAGCACACTGAGAAGGAGCTTTGGCTAGACACAACGCTAATTGTTTAGAGACAATGCGAGGAGAGCAGGAGATATCTGCAGCAAGCCTCTGATCCACTGAGGCCATGCTGTACCAGCCAAACTCGCTCATTCTGCACTACATGATGGGCACTGGCAATAGGAGCAGGCCTATTGTTAACTATGTGTTCTGCATTCTGCCTAACCCTAAAAAACCATGTTGGAACACAGAAGGGACGTGCCTTAAAAATTAGGGATGCAGTGAAACTTCCGCTACCTGATCCGGCCAATATAGAGTTCCAATACTAAGTTTATCTAACCTAACTAGTCCTGATTTTTATACAATTCCTCTTTTTAAATATTTAAGTTTGGTAAAGCTGAAAAAGGCTTGAATGAATGGCATTTCTAAGAAATAACAATTTCAGGCGCTTAAGACTACTTATTCAGCTATTTTTGTATATTTACTATCTATAAATATATATACCTACTGTACATTCTATATATAATTAGTAAACATATTTAACAACTAAACTTAATGTAAAATATTTGTATTGTACAAAATAAGCATGCAGCAGCTTCTCTGGCTTGGCAAAACAGTGCTAACTATTTACTATTTATCACATCCGAACTTCCTAAGTCATAAGTCGCATTTTTGTATCCCATACACTTTCACTTCATCGCGGAACTCCGCTGGAGTTCAGTAAATATTAAAGATATTTTACACCTTCTGTAGCAGCATTTTTCTGTGTATTTCTCAGCTAGGTTGAAGCAACAGGCCACAAGACCACGCTGCACTGTGATGCAGCTGACCCACAGAGGTGCACTGTAGGCAGTGTTAATAGACTGTTATGCAAAAAGCCAAAAAACAAGGCTAAAAGCTGTTGTTACCCCAAGAGACCGGCTTTTCCTTCCATATGTCTTTCTAACATTCGCTTCCTTGATAACAACAATGTTCTGGTCCTAATGTTCTGATCAGCACACATAATTGATATTTCTTAATCAAACAATCTCAGCCTGCTTTGCCACTGATGTAGAAGAAGAACAGTGCAGGCAGTAAGAAAGGAGTTAAACAGGATCAACATATTCTTGCTGTCCAAAGAAAAACATGTATCTCCAAAATAATTACTTTACTGGAGAAGACAAAAATGTGCTTTACTTTTAATGTAAGTTAATGTAAGGACAATGATGTAAGGTTCCTCTTTACTTTACTGCTGGATGCCCCTCTAGGAAAAGGTACCGGTTGAACGAATGAGCGAACGGACAGATGAAAGGATGAACAAACAAACGGACAAACGGACAGATGGAAGGATGAACAAACAAGCGGACAACAGACAGACAGATGAGCTAGCTTTATAGCTCAATTAGGCCTATGTTACCATTTGCTTAGTTTGTTAGAAACTGTACACAGTCTTGTTAAAGCTGTATGGGCAGGACAAGTTACATCAGCCTTGTGATTGATGAGGGGACTGCTTACATAAGCAGTACCAAAGTTTAGAAACACCCACAGTACACATCAAAAAAGGAGAATTTTGGGGAAATACACTGGCCATTTATCGGACATAAGAATGTTATTCATAGGACATACATTGTGCATGTATTGTGTGTCCATCAGACCACTTAGAAAAACAACACAGATTTAGGTCTCCTATGTCTTTAAAAGTGATTAATAAGAAACACAGAAAAGATAAAGCATTCAAATGATTAAAAGCTAACTAATGCACTAGTAGCTAACTAAAAAAAAAGAATGAAAAGCCAAAAACAAGAATAAAAAGTCAAATAAATAAAAAATGACTAAAACCAAGATAAAAATAGCATTAAAATAACATGACAAACCAACAAAAAACAAGATATAATAATCTTAATGTTAATTAAAAAGGATGTAGAGGAAGCATAAAGAATTTTCTTGTGCAGAGATCTCCAAGGAAACCTCAGCACTTCTTATTTTTTTCATTATTTAATCTTTTACTTGTTTGTACAGTGGCATTGTGGAAAAGATATTCAGATGTGCTCACCATTGCTTACAGTGTTGACATAGTATCTCCGTCCCTGTGGTGACATGTAGCTCTTCCAGTCTTTGGGCAGGGGGCTTTGGCTCGGCTCCTCACCGGGCAACACATTCATGGAGACAGACTTCTGGATTAACAGAGAATGCAAAGCTTATCCTTCTATCAGCAGCAATAACACAAGCATGGTGTAATTAGATATTAATTCATTCTTGCTCGTAGCTCACTGAAACAAGCAGAACAATTCTGTCAAAAGTTTGCATTACAAACTTTCAGTTGATGCCCAATTTGTGTTTGTAAGTAGAAGAATAAATATTTTAGTATGAACTGATTTGATGAAAATTTACACAGTTGTATACAAAAGTGTGAGCACCCCTGGCCAAGTTACATGTTTTGCTGATCAATTTTTTTCTCAGTTAGCACATCCTCTACAGAGAACACACTGCTGAACATTGTAATGCGCAATTACTGTTTATTTGCCGAATTTAACATACTGGGCGAAATGTGGACTGTGCAAAAGTTATGGCATATTTTGTATTTTATTTTTTTCCAACTTAGCAAGAAAAATTAAAATTGTGCATTAAGATGCATGTCAATGCCACATATAATGTGCCATATTTAAGGTCTTTCTCTGAAAAGGATGTTCACTTATTTTCACTTAGAAAATCAACAAAACGTAATGTTTTCAAACGTTTGCTTAAGACTGTAGTTGTGCATACAGATGGGAAAACCCCCATCCTTCACATTTTGCCATATTTTTAAAATTGAAGATAAATTTATTTCACTGTGCAACTCATTGTTTTACATATTTGTAGAACTACATTTGAATATTATAGCAAAATTAAAGTAATAACTCAACTTCAAAGGGTTAATACAGCCATGCTACACCCATAGAACACTTGATCTCTCCATCATGTGACATTATGTGAGTTTTCAGAATGTCACAAGAATGTTACTTATGTTGTAAGAATAGAAAAAAATCAGCCTGGAATTTCCTCACTGTAGATATCTGATGTCTGGATTTAGACTCTGCCCACCTCACTGCTTTTTAGCTGTGGTTGTTGGCAACGTTTTTCCAAAGCTTAACTTATAAAGGTTTCCCATCCATAATTTGCTCCAGTTGAGAATGCTGAAAATGTCTCAGGAATGCCAGAAGCCTTTGCTCTCCTTTCCAAGACACTAAATTATACATCTAGCGTCTATACAGTACAGGAGCACATAATGAGACCTGGAGTATTCAGCAGAGACATTGTATATCAGCGCCAAATATCATTTTCCATAACATAATCAGAATGTTCTACCTTTCTGGATTACGGAACTTTAAACAATTCAGTTTCATGATAACTACCTTTTTTTTGTTAGAGAACACAGGAATAACAATGGCACAAAGGTCAAAGTCACAGTGGCTTAACACAAGCACATTTCCCTTGAGTTTCCTTTGTAAACAGTAGCACGTAGATAAGATGGTTCAATACTCCCCTGTAAAGAAGAATGTTCCAGCTGCTCAGCCAGTGACTGAATTCTGTTTGTCATAATGTAAGCCTTGCACCATACCTGCTGATAAATCAGTAGTTACAGCTTTATACTGGAGCAACACCACTCACGGTTCTCTCCAAAAACATTTGTAGCCTTAATAATATTGTTTTTTAGTTAAGTTAAGAGGTTGCCTTATGTTGGAGCAACATCACTAATGGTTGTCTCCAATCCATCTGTTGTCTAAAGCTGGAGTGACTTTATTAATGGTTTCTCCAAACCATCTGTTGTCTTATGTTGGAGTAAAATCACTAAAGGTTTTCTCCAAACTACTTGTTGGTTTATTTGTTGGTTTAAGCTGGAATAATGTTAACGGTTTTCTCCAAACCGTTCATTACTTTATGTTGGAGTAACATCACCAATGGATTTCTCCAGGTAAAAAAGGTTGCCTTATGTTGGAATAACTCTACTTCAAACCATTTGTTGCCATATGCTGGAGTGACATCAGTGAAGTATTTTTCTAGGTAAAGAGGCAGCTTTATGCTGGAGAAACACAACTAAAAGATTTCTCCAAAGCAGTCATTGAGTGCGTATACATGCACTCAATAATCCGAAAAAAATTATTTCTGCAGTTATCCGATTACTCCAGTCTAGAAATCTGATTAAGAAATCCGATAAAGAGAGCTGGATTTTAGCTCAGTAATCAGATTTCTCAGTGCATGTAAACTCCGATTTCTATCGGATTTCTCAGTCTGCACATGCACAAGAACAGATGGCGGATGTCGCAAGAGGGCAGCAAAACACTTTTGGAGCGGTGCTGAAACCAAACACAAAAGGACGGAGTTAAATATTCTTCATCTTCTAGATGATATATGTTCATATTTTCAGGTAAAGTGGTGCGAAGTTTTAAAAAAAGCCACATCACGATGTTTGAGTCTTACGTTACATTTACGTCACATCTTCTTCTGAGTTTATTGGCTGGTTGCTAAGTAGAAATCAGATTACTGCCTGACTCATGCAGACCTGGAGTTTCCCCATTATCTGATTACTCAAGTGCATGTAAACGTGTTGATCGGATTACTGATCAAATCTGATTTTCTGCAGTTGTTGGATTATTAAGTGTATGTAAACGCACTCACTGACTTATGTTGGAGTAACTTCATTAATAGTTTTCTCAAAACTATTCACTGTTTTATGTTAAAGAAACATTACTAATGGTTTTCTCGAAACCATTTGTTGTCTTTTGCTGGAGTGACATGACTAAAGGATTCCTCCAGGTAGAGAGGCTGCTTTATGTTGGAGTGAGCAACATTGCTAATGGATTTCTCCAAACCATTAATTTCCTTATGCTGGAGTAACATCACTCATGCATTTTGTCATGTTTCGTACTCATAAAGCCATCACTCAGAATCTTCATTGTTTATAAGCATGAGATCACACAAACTGGCCAAAAGTCACTTTGCCAGCTTGTGCTGGCATATGTAACTTTCAATAATGCATAGCTCCAGATGGCTAACTTACAACTTGACTGCCTTTAGATGGTTCATACTGTGGATTTCAGATCTGTCTCTGGCTGCTTACCTATGTTTAAAGCACAGACTCTGCAGACCTCACAAAGCCACTTTAGTCACCTCCATTAAACATCAGTCACTGACATTCAGGAGCATGTTTAGCCATTTAGTCAGCTGTCTCAGTGAGTCTTCCTGCCAACACTTGATACTGATCTAAATCTTTTAAATCTGGCGGGGCCATCCAAAACAGATTTAATCCATCAGATTAAATCAGATGGGCACTTGAGATGAAGAGACAAAAACAAAGCTTTATGTTACAAAATGTCTTTTACTCAAGGGTGCAGGGTGGACATGCCAGACCTGAGTGTTTCTATTTATTATCTACTCAAAAGGACACATGGTTCCCATACACAAGCCTAGTCAGAGAGGAAAAGAAAAGTTCACTGCTTTCCTTGTATGCCACTGGCATTCTGCCTGGAAAATCAGCAATACCCGGTCAAACTCCCAAAGACAGAATGCTTCAAATACCTGAACATGTGGAGGAGGTCCATCAAGTTTTTAAATATGCCCTATATTCTAAGCCTTGGTCTCTCTTGGTATCTTGGGTATGGTTACACTGGAATTCTAACAGTTCCAATGAAACAAAAGACATTATCTCAGCAACCACTGAGAGAGAAGTGGTTGTGGTCACTGTGATTAAACAGAAAACATCAACAGTTTCCATACCGTAACTGTTACAGTGACGTCTAACAGTCAGAACAACCTGCTTAATAACACAATCAAGGTGTATGTATAAAGCAATAACATAAATTAGATGTATTCCCTTTGATTTAAAGATTGCACAATACCATTTTTTACCATCTTGAGTATTTTCCAATACTGATACCGATACTGAACCTTAAGTATTGGCCTATGAGTTATGCTTAATTGAAGCACTTCACTTAAAAACAGCATCTAGGCATCATGCTCAATCTACTCAAACACTCTACTACACCCACAAGAACAACTACACAAATAAACACATTGCAACACAGCTCCGCCTGCCCTTGTTGTTGTCTCTTTTCTCTCCTTATTTACATTCTCTCTTGTGACTCTGCCATGTGCTTCTGTTTTTGTTTTCCTGCTCCACCCTTTCTCCACCCCTCTCCACCCCTTTATCATGCCCCTTACCTGTCTCTAGTCTATAGTCCCACCCTCTTGTTATTACTCTCAGGTGTTTCATGTTTGTTCTGAGTGCATTTACACCACTGGATGTTTGTCTTTTGTTTGTTTGGCATGCAAATGTAGTCCCATCAAATATTACAATCCAGCTTCTTCTTGTAATCCACTTTTTCATTTAAGTGTGTTAAAATTTCACAGCAAAATAACAAATAATAGTACAAATAATAACAAATAATAGCCAGGGGTCCATTCAATCCCATTACAAGATTATTTCTATGAAGAATATCTTTCATTATCTCTCATTAGAAAACGTTACTTTGTCTAGACGTGACTATGAGTCACTTTTTGTCTCTGTAATCCAGAGCTGCATTAAACCATAAACCTAAGTTTCACAAGACAATTATGCAAAAGCTCCTTATCCAGGGTGCTAGCCTTGCTCATGCATGTGTGAGTCAATCTTTCCTGAGCCACACAAGACTCGGGAAAAAAGTGGTCCATACACACATGAACTCCCATGACCCTGACCCCAACATCTGGACAGAAAGCTGGCCAGTGTCCACCTGAACAAGGTCTCAGCAGCATGCTGTACAAGGCTAAATATGTAAGAGAAGATTGAACTTGTAATGAAATAACAAATATGGCAAAAATGTAAATGATGGCTTCTTCCTGCAATACAAGACTCTCTTTTATATTTCACTAAATTCAAATCAAATAAAACATCTCTTCTACTTACAAACATCTCTTTTACCTATAAACATGAAAGTGGAATCAGCTGAAGGTTTAGAATCCACACTTCTGACTACACTGTTTCCACTTTCTCCATTGAGATATGACTCAGAAATAATTCTATTTATATACTTGTAATTCTATTTGTAATTCTATAATTCTATCTTGCCTTTGTTATTTCGTTAACAATCATCAGGACTACGACAATAAAGAATAATCGAAAGTCAAAAAAATGTATGCAAAAGACAGAATACGTTCA